CCGGGCCTCTGGCCCCTCCCACCCGCTGCAGACAGAGCTACCAGTGCAGCATGCTCCCTGCTGCAGCATCTCGTCCCATTGCAGCACCCACCCTTCCTGCTGCGGCGCCCACCCTGCAGCAGAGCCCGCCCCACTGCAGCACCCTGTCCTGTTGCAGCACTCCCTGCCCCGCTGCAACGCCCGCCCCGCAGCAGCCCAGGGCAGCTGTGTTCACCCAGCACAGGGCAAAGCACAGCCAGTCCAGCTGGCAGAGCAGGGCCCAACCTGAACCAGTTGGTGAGGGTCATCATGACGTAGAGCGAGGCGAGGAAGAAGACAAAGTGGAAGGCCGAGTAGCTGTAGACCACGCGGTCCTGCTCGTCCTGGACGACGCAGGGCGCCCCGCTGGGCTCCTCTGCCTGCTCGCCCGCTGGCTCCGTCCCTGGAGAGCAGGGTTGGGAGGGTGCTGAGGGCACCTGCCACCCATGCTGTGGGCACCCGCTCCCTCTGCACCCACCTCGCAGCGCCTCCTCCATCTTCTCGGGGCAGCAGAAGCAGCAGGAGGGCTCCTGCAGGGCGGTTGGGAGCAGGGAGCATGCAGGGCACACAGCAGGGAGCCTCCCTGGGCCTGGGGATGGCCAAGGAGCAAGAGGGGGCCAGGGTGGGGGACGGGCTCTGCAGGGCACTGTGACTCACTTTGAACTCAAAGCTGTAGACTTTGACCATCCAGAAGGGCCCGAACACCTCGGCCAGGTAGGAGGCTTCGTTGCTGCACCCAGGACAGAGGAGGAACCGGTGACAAAAGCAGGCGACAGCCCATGCCCAGCCTGGGGACACTGCGTGGTCCCCGTTCTGCCAGCCGTGCCACAGCCCTGGCCGTGCCAGGCTGGCTTGGTGCCCGGCAGGAACGCGCAGCCCGCACGAGGCTCACGCACCATGCGAAGAGCACGCAGGCGTACATGATGGCAGCCCCCAGCACGGCGACCGTCGTGTCCTCCTTCTGCAGCTCGTCCTGCCGCACGCCGGGGAAGCACACGGTGAGGTTCTGGCCCTGGTAGAGCACTGCAGGAGGCAGAGTGAGACGGGCCTGGCACAGCGGGAGCAGCTGCTGGCG